CGGATTGATTGATATGTCGGGCTTAACATCCCAAAATCCCCATATGAATATGATAAACGCTGTAGTGGAGGGCTCCGGAAATTTCGACCACCTGGGGTTCTCTAACGTGCACCCAAACCTGAGCACACGGGCCTACAGCATTTTCGCCGGCATCGAAAATGCAGCCGCCGCAGCCGGGATTCGATCCCTCGACCTGCGCGTCAGCAGCCGAGTAACCTAGCCACTAGACCACCGCGGCAGGGCATACTCCGGCGGAAGTTCGACCATCGGCTGCAGCCCCATCACGAGTGTGGCAAGTAGCTTTTGCTGCACGTCAACTCCATATGAAGTGAAGGAGAGAAAAAGGATAGTTAAGTTAGCCAGCATCTCGCTTTCAATAGCTTGCATATATAGCGCTGGGGAGGGGGGTGAAAACTATAGGAGGAGAGAGAGAAGACGGTGGCTGCTAGGTATAGTTCTAATAACATCTGGGATATCATCAAGATATAATCATGGAGGATGCCGCAGTGGAGGGTTCCGGAAATTTCGGCCATCTGGTGCTCTTTGATGTGCACTGACATGACACAGTACACACCTCTACAATTCAGGCTCCACCAAAACTCGACTACCGTAATGGGATCGAAGCCGTGACCTTCAGGTCAGCAGCTGAGAACCGTAACAGATTGATGCACCATGGCATATATATTGTCATGTGTGGTTCTGACAGGGTTGGACTGCAAGTGCGACTTTGTTAGTCACTTTACTGGATCTTTAAGAGCTTCAACCACTTTGCATTACGTAAGTGTGTGCGTTCTCTTTGTGTCCACTTATCCGACTGCCCAGCACCACTCCTCACTGGCCAAAGCAAATATCCTCTAAAAAAGTTGAATTTGTTCCTCGAAGTGAACGTAAGGAGATACCGCGGAATGGTGGTTGTTCCTTCGGTGTTTTGCTGTTATTCTCTTCTTTTGGTTTGTGTTTAGCTGTTTTGTGTGTTTTGCTGTGATTCCTAAAGTTAAAGCTTTTAAAGACACAAAAAAATAAACAGTGCTAAGACAGGACAAAGGAAGGTGACACACGAGGACGAGAGCTCACTTTCATTTGTCTAGTCTTAGAGCTGTTTTTTTTTTTTAACTTTAGACTTATGTATTCCAGCTATAGCCTGCCTTTCGGGATCTTCTCCAGTTCAAAGTGTCTAAGTGTGGTTCTCTTTGATCCGAAGTGATGGTTTGGCGAACAAATGGTCATATACCGCTCTGTATGTGATTGCGAGAAAAAAAATTTTTTGGAGAGAGGGGGGGGGGAGGGCATGGGCCTGGTGTGCTACCCAATAGTTAGACCACTGGCTAGGTCATCCGCTGGTTAGGCCACTTTGCTGCCGCTTTGCTGGTGCTTCCTTCTCTCGAAACTCCGTATTTGCTTCTCGTTGGTGGCACTGTTCAAGCCATGCAAAGTCATGATCAACTGCCCTACCCCCAGTTACTCTGGTCGTGTGACCTGCTGGCGCAGCTACCATGATACCGTCCCTGCCTTTCCTATCGTGGTCACGTGACCTGGCTCTGCTCATCGGTGACACAACCGGACGGTGGAAAAAGGTCGACCTAGAGCAGTGCCGCGCTAAACAAGCGCATAAAATTATGGCCGTCGGCCTCTATAGACGTCGGCTGATATCAACATGGGTGAGGCACAAAATCACGTGATTACGTCTTCGTGATGTCAGAAGTCCTAATAATGCGTGACGTCGCATGATGACGTCATCGCCTGATCTCTTCATGGCTATTTTCGCGCAATGTATACACGGACGAGGAGACAGACACCACGGGCGCAGACAGACACCACCATTGTGCCCGCGATGTGTTTCTTCTCGTCTGTGTGTATACATTGCGCAGACATAGCTATGAATCAACCAACTCGCCCAACTTTCAGTACTCTTCATCTCGTCAGTTTCTCAGTCGTGGGCCGATCTAGAAGGCAGTGCACATTAAGATGATGTGCAGAATGCTTTCAATGCCTCTAACACTGATTGATTGATTTGTGGGGTTTAACGTCCCAAAACCACTATTTGATTATGAGAGACGCCGTAGAGGAGGGCTCCGGAAATTTTGACCACCTGGGGTTCTTTAACGTGCACCTAAATCTGAGCACACGGGCCTACATTTCCGCCTCCATCGGAAATGCAGCCGCCGCAGCCGGGAATCGAACCCGCAACCTGCGGGTCAGCAGCCGAGTACCTTAGCCACTAGACCACCGCGGCGGGGCGGCCTCTAACACTGGATGCAATCCAAGTAAACCACGTTAGATTCAGAAAGCCTTTGGGTGGGAACGGAATGTGGAAGAGGGGTGCAGATGAAGCAAGGCTGGCTGCTTGTGTCTATTTTCGCGCCTCATATTGAATTGTGAAGAGCTGGTGAACACTTTGCTGGTTCTGGCTTGGCTAGGCTTTTATCCTATCACCTTTCTCTTTCCCACTCTTTGATATTCTCATAGAGTTTCCTAAAATTAACTAGAGGGGACTCTGGCGCTGCGATCGTTCAGCGACCACAGGAATATTGGGTAGTACATCGATTTGCCTAGTCTTTGTACTTGTGGGCGGCGAATCCCACTTGTGGCTTCGTTTATGGCTGTGTTTCGTTTCTTTTTTTTTTTCGAAGGAAAGAACGACCCCTTTTGAACTTCACGACCCGATTTGAAATGGTAATCCTAAAAGAACACTGTGGTGAAGCGCAAGCACTGAACATTTGCTGATTGTGTGTGTGTGTGTGTGTGTGTGTGTGTGTGTGTGTGTGTGTGTGTGTGTGTGTGTGTGTGTGTGTGTGTGTGTGTGTGAGTGTGTGTGTGTGTGAGTGAGTGAGTGTGTGTGTGTGTGAGTGCGTGCGTGCGTGCGTGCGTGTGGGCGAGTGTGTGTGTGTGTGATAACAACTTCACCCGCACGAACACATACGGAGCCAGAAGTCCAAAGATTAGACAAATCCGTGTACTACCCATCATTCCCATGCTCGCTGAAGCGCCGTGCGTTGCAGCTGCCATAGACACTACAACGTTAGAGTTCCCTCTAAGGATATTTAGGAAACTATATGGTTATGCTGTTTTGGTAGAGCATTGTCTTCCCTTTTTTCATATATATATATATATATATATATATATATATATATATATATATATATATATATATATATATATATAGTGCACTTGAAGTTGTAAAACACTATGTCTACTTAGTACAGGTAATAACGGCGGAAGCCGAACCACGAGATTGAAGTAACTAGAAGTAAAAATGGGGTGGAGCACGTTTGGCAAGCACTCTATAATCACGACAGGTAGATTCGCCACTATCCCTCAAGAGGAAAGTATATAACGGCTGCATCTTGCCGGTACTGAGCTACGGAGCAGAGGCCTGGAAACTTACAAAGAGGGTTCAAGCTTGAATTGAGGAGGACACAGCGAGCAATAGAACGGAATATGGTAGGTGCATACCTTTAAGAGACAAGAACGTAGCAGGGTGGATCAGGAAACAAATTGGGGTTAAGGATATCGTAGTTGAAATAAAGTAGAGGAAATTGACAGAAGTCGAGCATGTAGCACATAGACAGGATAACCGTTGTTCATTAAGGGTAACTAACTGGATTTCCAGAGAAGGCAAGCGTGTTAGGGGGAGACAGAAGGTTAGATGGGCAGATGAGACTAAGAAGTTTGCGGGTATAAACTGGTAGCAGGAAGCACAGGACCTAGTTGACTTGGGGAATATCAGAGAGGTCTTTGTCCTGCAGTGGACATAGTCATGATGATGATGATGATAATGATGGTGGTGGTGGTGGTAGCAGTCGATTCCCTGTAGATTTCTTCCAGAATATTTATGCGTGCTTCGTCGACGCCCTGATTCCGCAGTGAGTGCATTACTGCTTGGGCTGCATATGTTTCTACATTAAAATATTCAATCGAGATTCATCGACTGCATATTCCGTTCACTAAGCACTCCTTGCGAATGTCATTAGTCTAGTTGTACAAACAACCATCGTAGGTACTACTCTTGCAGAGGACTTCAGCATAAATCACAAATACGAGTAGTTTGTTCGCAATCAAGTTGAAACGTGCGTTCTGACATCTGGGTCCGTCTTTGTAACACGGCGTTCGAAAAAGGAACTTCAGTAAAGCTTTGCTGCAACCTATAAAGTTGGGACATAAATTTCAGGGTGAAAACGTTAGCGTGGACCACGATGGGCTACAGAGAAGGAATGAGACAAGCACTGACTGGCAACTGCTTTAGTATTCTCGCGACCATCCACAAGAACGCGTGATTGGACCGCATATTGCGTACAGAGATAATTAATGCGTGAACAGTGAACTTCTTAGCAACCGCGTAATCATTATCGCATGAGATGCGAACAACCGTTTTCGTCCACCTTGCGAAGTGTCGCGAGGCAGTGAGCTTTGTTCTTTGCCTAAATTGCAATGTGACTGGACTTACTTCTTCAAACGTGTTTCTTCATTGTATGGCTACGCACTCAGGGATATCGTGTTACCAAACGAGGTTAGAAACAGCACAAAAAAAAAGCGTACATCTTCAGCAACTTCTGTGTGTTTGGTAACATTGAAATAGCTGGTCAATTTGTGCTGCCCTTTCTTCTTTGCAACGCCCTGACTGCAAATTACTTCGAAAATAAAAAAAATAAAAAATAAAAGGATAGTATACCGAGGATTAAACGTAGGATTTCTAGATGTGCCTGTTTTGGGCAGAATCTTGGGCAGGATCTGACCATGTTAACTGCATGAAAATAACGCCAAGTAACGTTGGACAGGAGAATACAAGGGCAAACGTGTTGGGCCGAAAAACGTACTTTTTTCGGAATCGTATCGACGAGCTTCCTATTGTATTATGTTTACACATCGTGGGCGTTCCTTATCGCCTTTGCTGCAAGATAACTCGGACCAACGCGTCTCCACTACGAAAAGCTTCGCCAGCCGGCGCGCTAGCGGTTCCCTCTACACCGGAGGAGCCTAGTGACGATAGTGCACCGACTCACCCTGATGACGTTTCCGAGAACGGCCGGGCTGACGAGGGTGATCAGCGCTGCGACGGCCAACACTCGCCTTCCCTGCTGCGATGTCGTCGTCATGGCGGAAAAGGACGCAAAGTTCTCGTGCACCACCTCTGTGAGCCACACAAAGGGAGAGCAACAAATAGCCGCGCACGATACGCAGAAGTGCTGCTGCTGCTTCGCGGGAGCAGGCGTGAGCGAACATTGACAGCCCGGCGGCAGGCGGCGATCTTTTAAGAGCGTAAGCGGCGGCTTTGCGAGAGAGGACTGGCGAGAGAGATGGCAGAGGAGGAAAGATTGCGCGGTACGCGCGCTTTTTCCATTGGGGGTTGTATACCCGGGCTGTTCGTTCTGCACAAATCCGCGTCGGCGACCAATGGCGACGAGGGATGCCGAGATAACACCGACCAATGAAAAAGACGCTACGTACGCCCATTCTCTCACACACGCACCGAGATGGTCGACAGGTCCCAGGGTCCCTCTGGCCGAAGTGGTCTTCTTTTGTCTTCTAGGTCAACGCTTGGATCCACCGCTCCCCTCTTCCAAAAGCTTGCTGCACCTGAAGTGGTTTTGCTCGGCCTCCGTAATCGGCGAATTTTTGACCAAGCTACGATGTCATGTGATGGCGTCATGACTGCGTTGCAAGTTTCGGTTGTCTGTGACGTCATCGCATGATGCTTTTTTTTCCCTGTCAGTGGTGTTGAAGTCGGCGCCATGGGACACCGATACCCAACTTTGGCCTTTTGTGAATCATTTAAGGTGTTTCGCCTTGATCACTTTGATCACGTTGTCCTGGCATGCGCGAACCGTCAATCCAGGTGGCAAAGTGATTATTTTTAGCCGCGTCAGTCCGTCATGGATGCAGGTATGGTGCCCACAGGATGCCACGACCTCCTTAGCTAGAAAGTTTTTTCAGAGAGGAGGAGGAGGGGGGGGGGGGAGTTATAGAGCGAAGTTGAACTCCCGATATTATCTCCTTGACTACGCCACTGGAGAATGCGGATTCCAGCGGCTTTGTGACACTTCGACATCCAACATCCAAGGTGGAACTGATGTGTACGCATGTCCCTTCATAACGCCCTGTTCAGTTGAACTCCGACAATGCGGAATACGTGGGTCAGACGAAAAAAAAAAAAGAATCAAAAGAAAGAGAAACATGCTCTGGGTGAACCATGCTAGGCATCATTTTAATTGTAAATTTCCTTCGCGTGCAGGACCAATTTCATTATCAATAACATCTTCGACCTCGCATATGTTACAAAAAGAACATCATGACAAATAAACGCAACCATTCGCATTCCGCACGAGTTCGTTTCCTATACAGCTAACCACACAGGTTATTTGAGATGATGCAACAACACCGGCTGTGGAGTCATAACGATGGCACCCATTTACAAGAAGTCGGTGACACGTCTTGAGGTGACACCTGGTTGTGCCGGAGCGTGCTGGAATCACTGGCACAGATAAAAGCGTAAACAAAATACATTTCATATAAAAGAATGAAGAAATGGAATTTATAGAGCTCCTTGCTTGGTTTTACACGACCTCAAATGGGTACTGACACGAAAATCTCCAGTTATTTCTCTTTTTTTTGGGGGGGGGGGGGGAGTCAAATTAAGGGTGATGCCCTCAAGAGCCTAGAAAACCTAGTGCTAAATGTGAGCGCATCCTGAAAAGTAAGTACAGTATGTTATTAAAAGCTTGTTTCCCTACCCACTGTTCTCTGACGTCACAACATGGTATGAGCTTCTCGTCACGCGCTCACGCAAGATATAATGGTGTTTCCAAGGCTGCTTCGCACCGTGGCTCCATTGGTGGCCCATATGCGACCATATTGAATGTTTTGATAGCGCATAGGCGGCGATCTTGAACGTTTTAGTATTTGACGCCATGACAACTATCTAGACTGCAGCGTGACGTCCCTATATCTAGTACTTAGCCTGACGCCAAGCTATAGTGCGAATGTTGGTGGGTGCACCATAGAAAAATTGCCTTTAATATTAAAATAATATATCTTATCAGCATTCTCTGAGCTCCACACTTGCACAGTGTCATCTCTATCTACAGAAAGTTTGTATGGCTGAGTGAATTCGCCTTCCTCCAAAATTGGCAGATCCCACGTGCAGTGGGAATCGATTATGTGCGAAGCACGAATGAGAAATGTTGATATTTCACTCCAAAATCAGTACGACATTACGAGGTGGAGGTAAATGATACCGTACATGACTACCGTGTCATGATTATCGTGTTTTGATGTGTCATTTACCTTAGTCATCTGTTCACGTCACGTTATACCAAATTTAGCGTATGTGGAGCTATAGCGAAACGGCCGCGAGCACGCTATGAGCGTGGTATGTTGTCATGCTCTTACATGACAAGCGTGTCAAGACTATCATGTTTGCACCATTCATATTTTTGAGCATCCATTGCCGTCACGAAACGCCAAATTCGGTATATGTGGAGCTAGCAAAACGGCCGCGAGCGCATCATGAAGGGCCCAATGTACTCCAGTGTAGCGTTGACGTGCGCGCCCGCTGGGCACAGCGACGCTACGTTAGCAAAACGCGAGCACTCTATAATCTGACGCCAGGCGCGACCAGCGTCCGTCGGCGCGGCCCGACGGCAACCGGCGCGAAATGTGACATGCTGCATTTCGCACCAATGCGTTACCCAGACAACACTGCGTCTTCCTTTTTTCGTGACGGAGGGACGCCGGACGCGCTGAAACGCGTATGCGTCAAAGAAGCGCAGCGCGGCACACGCCTGCGAGTATAATGGCAGGACCAGCGCCCATGGCGTCGCAACGCCGGCGTGACGCGACTAAATGAACTCCATCGAGCACGCGCACCGCGTCGCGTCGAATGTATTGGCACCTTGACTGTGGCATGTAGTCATGTTATCACATGACACGCATCTCATGATTATCATGTTTGCACCATTCACATACCTTCTTCATTCATTGGCGTCCCGTAATACCGAATTAGGCATATATGTGAAGTTAGCGAAACGACCGCGAGCGCTTCGTGACTGTGGCATGTGGTCATGTTGTTACATGACACGCATGTCGTGATTATCATGTTTGGATGTGTCCATTTACCTATGTCTTCCGTTCGCGTCGCATATTACCGAGTTTGGTACATGTGAAGCTATGGACACGCATCTGATGTTTATTATGTTTGCACCAGTATCATACCTTCGTCATTCATTCACATGCCCATAATACCAAATTTAGTATAAGTGAAAGTAGTGAAACTACCGCCAGCGCATCATGAGCGTGGCATGTAGCCATGCTGTTACATGACACGCATCTCATGATTATCATGTTTGCACCAGTCGACATACCTTCGTCATCCATTCACGTACCGTAATACCAAATTTGGTATATGGGACGCTAGCGAGACGGCCGCGAGCGCATCATGATCGTGGAACGTAGTCATGTTCTTACATGACACGCATGTCTTGATTTTCATGTTAGGGTCTGTCGCTTGCGTTCGCCATTGAATCATGTCAAACCTTACCAGTTTTGCAACATGCCATGTGAACGAAACCACCTCAAGAGCTGCAGGACCATGAAATGTAAATCATGACATACATGATGTACAATATTCATGGTTTTCATCTTATGACTAGGGATGAAATATGTTCTTCACACAGTCATGTTTTGGCATACCAAGTTTGGTGTCGATACCATTATCGAAACAGCCAGGTGATATAAAAGTCTCAGGCGGCTGGATAGATAGATAGATAGATAGATAGATAGATAGATAGATAGATAGATAGATAGATAGATAGATAGATAGATAGATAGATAGATAGATAGATAGATAGATAGATAGATAGATAGATAGATAGATAGATAGATAGATAGATAGATACGCTCAAAGTCGCCAAAGTACGCCAATAAATGCTTCGCATATAAAAGATCACTACCCCTGTGCTGAAACCCGCCGATAATGAAGCCAATGAATGTACACTGCAGGGAACGGGATTTCTGATATTTTTTTAAGTGTGTTGCAGTAGATATGATATAAATGTGAATAAAGTTAGGTAGACGAAAAGACACTTTGTCGACGACAAGAACCGAACCTGCAGCCTTCGGATTTTATTACATTTTCATTTCATTTGTTGGCACCCTCAAGGCCAAAGGCATTACACTGCGGCAGTAAGAAAAAAAAAATTACGGCATATTCACGAGGGGAATGATGACGAGTGGATGCGAAGCGGACTGGACGGATGTACGCACGGACGGACGCAGCTCTTCCCGCTCCGTGTGTCAGCAACGTGCCTATTTCGTAAAGGCGGTAGCTTGCTAAGCGACCTTCGTCCTCTCCAGAATTACGAGTCTGATAACCGCGTGCGCGGGAGTAGTGATGTTCCGTGCCGGGAATTTTCCCTTTTTCGGGGAACTTCCGCCTGTCATTTTGAGCCAAAGGGAAAAGGGTAACAATCTTCGTCATATTGCAAGGAATTTCAAAAAGGATGAAATTCTCCTATCACGACCTATATTAGCGGTCACGGTGCACCTTCATCTGCTGTAATCGTTTCTGACGCATGCACCACTCAAATGACCATAGATATTTGTTTCTGATATTTACGCGGAATGATTTCCAGTTCACTAATGGTGTTAGACTTGGAGCCCACAATTTGCAGTGTACTAACAGTATATAAATGAGTATAAAGTCATGCTTTTGTTGTGTGGCAGTGGAGAGGCTAGCCATGATTTCAGAAGTCGTCAGTACGTGAGACACGTGTAATTATACAATATGTGTGTCCGTGGATGGGGGTGGAAGTTAGTACTGTTGGACAGGACATTTTGCTGGAAATTTCATCAACGTTTGCAGGGGGAAATCCGCGAAATAGAGAATTTTTCATCTCTCTGAATGAGAATTCTTCGATGTAGTACAGAACATCACTGCGTAGGAGAGACCACGCCAGAGAACACCACGCTCCCTGGAGGTGGCGCTTCGTGGAAGAGACGACCTTTAGAATGCGCCTAACGCGAGCTTATCGTGCTATCTCGCCACTGGTAATGAAAACGCGCTAAAGTTTCGAAGTTCTGAGGACTGCGAGTTGGCGTATAGAATTGGCTGCGAGATCGAGCAGAGTCGCCGCCTAGCGGCAACTGGCCGAAGAAGCGAAGTGTGGATTGCTCCATGCGTCGTCTGCTAGCCACGTCGCATTTCTACTAGTGTGCGTACGTCATGCA